GACCAGAACAGACAGGCGAGACAGGACGCGACGCGGGCTCACGACGCTCAGTAAGACTCCCTAGCTGCTCAGTGTAAGGAGAAGGAGCAGGCAGCAATGAGCCAGGCTGTAACGGAAGACCAGTAGACGAAGGGAGACTAAGAACCTGGCGAAGCACAGAGTTAGGCGGTGGCTGAGACGACGGAGACGGTGGAGCGAAGAACAGTCGCGGCTGTGCAGTGACACCAGCACCAGCAGCTCCAGTACCCCCAGCAGCTCCAGCACCTCCAGCAGCTCCAGAACCTCCAGCGCCAGCACCCTCAGCAGCTCCAGAACCTCCAGCTCCAGCGCCACTAGCGCCAGTACCTCCAGCAGCTACAGAACCCTCAGCGCCAGCTCCTCCAGGACCAGCTCCACCAACAGCAGCACCCCCAGAACCAGCACCTCCAGTCCCAGGGTCTCCAGCCTCAGTGCCTCCAGCAGCAGCACCCTCAGGCTCAGCACCTCCAGCCCCCGCAGCTCCAGTACCTCCAGTACGAGCACCTCCGGGACCAGCACCACTCCCAGCTCCAGTGACGTCAGCAGAAGTACCTCCAGCGGCAGAGCCCCGAGCTCCAGAAGCGCGACCCTGACGCCGACCGTACCAGTCGTGCAGCTGCTGCGAGGTGAGAGGCACACGCGGACGAAGGCGGCTACTCCAAGGAAGCCGCGCAACAGCAGACTCAGAACCCTCAGCGCCAGAACCCGCAGCAGCTCCAGAACCTCCAGCGCCAGCACCCTCAGCAGCTCCAAAACCTCCAGCTCCAGCGCCACCAGCGCCAGCACCTCCAGCAGCTCCAGAACCTCCAGCTCCAGCACCCTCAGCAGCTCCAGAACCCCCAGCTGAAACAAATCCAGTGGCAGAGTCACCAGCTCCAGCACCTCCCGCAGCAGGGCCCCTAGCTCCAGCAGCGCGACCCTGACGGCCAGCGTACCACTCAAGCAGCTGCTGTGGGGAGAGAGGGAGTCGACGACGAGAGTGCAGCGGCGAGGCACCAGCGGAGCGACTACGGAGACGGCCGCTCCAGGGAGACTGCTCACCAGACGCCTCAGCGCCCCCAGGCTCAGCACCCCCAGACTCCTCACGCCCAGGCTCAGCACCTCCAGTCTCCGCACCCCCAGGCTCTGCACCTCCAGGCTCCGCACCCCGAGGCTCAGCACCCCCAGGCTCAGCACCCGCAGGCTCCGCACCCCAGAAGCAGCACCCCGAGCAGGACCACCCTCAGCAGGACCTGAGTCACCAGTGACCTCAATTGGCTCAGTCAAGGGAGGAGGGTCTACCTGAGACACACCTGAAGGAGCAGGACCGGGAGCGAGGAGGGGGTCTACCTGGGGAGCACCTGGAGCGAGGAAGAGCGGCGGGGGGGGGAGAGGGGCAGTGCGGTAGGGGAAGAGATGGTAAAAGGGAACCGACTCGTCGAACGTGACGTCCTGAGAGGGGAAGACACGGCGCGAGGTGGGGTGGTAAAACTGCCAACCAGGCGCGTCAGAGACAAAGCCAAGGAAGACACAGGGAACAGCGCGGGCGGAGAGCTTGTCCGCGGTGGTATCGCGGACAAAGGCACGAGCACCCCAGACCCGGAAACGCGACGCATCGCCAACCTTCCCCGTCCACAGCAGTGTGGGCGAGGTCTCCGGCAAGGAGACACGGGGCCAGAGGTTGAGCTGATGCGCGGCGTACCGGACCGCAAACGGCCACAGAAAATAGGAGGCAGCCGCATTGATCATGGAGGTACGAGCGACTTCCATGACTAAGCCAATGCGGCGCTCAGCAACCCCATTCTGCTGCGGAGAGGCCGGCAGCGTGAACGTCTGGCGGATGCCGTGCTCCGCACAGAAGGCTGCCAAGAGGTCTGAGGAGAACTCACCACCCCTGTCAGAGTGCAGACGCAGGACAGGAAAGTCCGAGTGGAACCGCTCGCGGAGCTGGAGACGAACAGCGCGGATCCAGGGGATCAAAACATCAGGGACCTCCCCCTTGCTGCGCAAGGGGAAGACCGTGGTGTAACGCGTGTAGTCGTCGACGACCAGCAAGAAGTACCGCTCGTGGCCCTGTCCACGGACGCGAGCTGGGCCCCACACGTCCAGGTGGAGAGTCTGCAGGGGAGCCTCTGTGGGAGGGAACGAGGAGGAGTGAGGAGCGGCGCGCTGCCGCCCCTCAACACAGGGAAGACAGGGAGGAGCAGGCGAGGGTGGTAGAGGAGGCAGAGTCTCTGGAAGTCCAAAAACAAGGAAACAGCGGTGCATGCTACGAAGGCGCTGCACCGAGGGGTGACCAAGGCGGTGGTGCCAAAGGAGGGTCTGGTGCGACCGAGCGCGACACGAGCAGGGGGCCGCTAGCTGACCTGACGCAGACGCAGACGCAGCTACCTGAGGGGACACAGTGGTCAGTGTGTACAGACTCGAGCCAGGCTCACGGGTGAACGTGGCCAGGTGCCGACCAGTCCGGGAGCACGTACAGTGTGTCACACGCTGACCTCCAGGGGTGAACTGGTCAACCCACACATCCTGTAGGTCAGCTCCACTCACCAAGTTCGTAGAGAACGAGGGGAGGTGAAGACCTGACAGGGAGCCAGACGGGACCGCCGGACACGGCAGGACCGTGGAGGAGTGCGCAAGGACTGGACCCCCAGAGGGGTCTGCCAGGGAGACTGCAACCGGCCGACGGAGCGGCGTGAGTGTGGTGCTGTCGCGAAAGAAGGAGCGGGAAGCACCTGAGTCAAGTGTGAAGGTGTACACGGCCTCAGCAGGCGCAGTACCAGAGAGAGCAGACTCACCAGCACCTGGAGCAGCAGCCTCACCAGTACCTAGAGCAGGAGACGCACTAGCACCTAGAGCAGCAGCCTCACCAGCACCTAGAGCAGCAGGCTCTATACCTGGGTCAGGTGGTACGCACAGGGAACAGGCACGGTCAGCACTAGTAGGCAATGCATACATGGCAGTGAGAATAGCATCATAGTCAAGAGCAAATATATCTACTCTCTGTCCAAGCAGCTCCAGCCAGGTGGGGAGCTCAGCCTCGTCGCCAAACTCGGTACGCCAGGCGTCGCTCAGACGGGCGAAGCAGCGGGACTGTGTGAGACCAAGCGTCCCGCAAGCCTGACCGGTCCGATCACCTGTGCGAATGACGTACGGGCAGCGAACGGTACTCAAAAACCCTCTACTCTGAGCGTACCACTCGTGAAGCTGCTGGGACGTAAGTGTCTCGCGTGGACGCCGCTGCAGCTGCAGCTGGCTACTGCCAGACGCTCCCAACTGACCAGCTCCAGGGCGACAGCTACGACGGCTACCGCCACAACCCCAACTAGCGTACCACTCACGAAGCTGCTAGGGCGGGAGAGACTCGCGTGGACGTCGCTGGAGCTGCATCTGGCCACCGCCAGTAGCAGCAGTAGCAGTAGCAGTAGCCTAGCAGTAGTAACAGAAGTAGCAGCAGTAGCAGCGAGGGCAGGGCAGGCGCGGCAGGCAGGCAGGCAGGCAGGCAGGCAGGCAGACAGGCAGGCAGGCAGGCTGGCAGCCAGGCAGGCAGGCAGATGGCGCGGCAGCGTGCTAACAAGGCAGGTGCTCACCAGTGGCGGGAAGAGCAGGCGCTCGCCGGGCGAGGGGCGGCGACGCGGGTCCAGGGGCGGCGTCGCGGGGTCCAGGGGCGGCTGCACGGAGTCCAGGGGCGGCTGCACCAGGGGCGGCTGCTTCAGGGGCCAGGGGCGGCTGCTCTGGGTCCAGGGGCGGCTGCTCGAGGGTCCAGGGGCGGCTGCACCAGGGGCGGCTGATTCAGGGGCCGGGGGCGGCTGCTCTGGGTCCAGGGGCGGCTGCTCGAGGGTCCAGGGGCGGCTGCACCAGGGTCGGCTGCACCAGGGGCGGCTGCTTCAGGGGCCGGGGGCGGCTGCTCGAGGGTCCAGGGGCGGCTGCACCAGGGGCGGCTGCTGCAGGGGCCAGGGGCGGCTGCTCTGGGTCCAGGGGCGGCTGCTCCAGGGGCGGCTGCTTCAGGGGCCAGGGACGGCTGCTCTGGGTCCAGGGGCGGCTGCTCGAGGGTCCAGGGGCGGCTGCACCAGGGGCGGCTGCTTCAGGGGCCAGGGGCGGTTGCTCTGGGTCCAGGGGCGGCTGCACCAGGGGCGGCTGCTTCAGGGGCCAGGGGCGGTTGCTCTGGGTCCAGGGGCGGCTGCTCCAGGGGCGGCGTAGCTGGTACAGGGCAGTGCGCGGCAGCAGCACTGCAGCAGCAGTTCAGGCGCAGCAGCTTGAGTGCAGCAGTAACACGGGCCGCGTGCGGGCCAGGCATGGGCTGTAAGGGCTGCGTGCGGGCCTGGCGCGGGCTGTACGAGCTGCGTGCGGGCCTGGCGCGGGCTGTACGGGCTGCGTGCGGGCCTGACGTGGGCTGTACGAGCTGCGCGACGGCCTGGCGCGGGCTGTACGGGCTTCGCGACGGGCCTACGCGGGCTGTACGGGCTTCGCGACGGGCCTACTCGGGCTGTACTGGCTGCGCGTGGGCCTGGCGTGGGCTGTACGGGCTGCGCGACGGCTTGGCGCGGGCTGTACGGGCTGTGCTCGGGCCTACGCGGATTGTACGGGCTGCGCACGGCAGAAAAGGGCAGGGCAGCGCGAAACGCTGGGCAGGGCAGAAACTAACGGTCAGGCAGGTGAAAACGAATGTGATGGGCCCTTAATTACGGTCCTAGGCTAGGACCGTCTTAGCTCTTAATACCATGTTAGAATATTAGGAAGTGATGATGTCATTAAGTGAAGGGGGGGTACAAGAAGAATGTCGAGAGAAATATTGTACCCCCTAGTGCTAACCCCCATACAGCCTAGATAACCTAAACATGCATATATTGTTTGACATACACTGTCAGCCATACACTGTCAGGCATACACTGTCAGCCATACACTGTCAGGCAAGCACCCTGGTGCTGGCTCAATGAGACGTTTTTTTGGTCGATTCCAAAATTGTGAGAGGCTTGCACTGGCTGCTGCTGCTGCTGTCGCAGATGCACGGATGCAGGCCCGTGAAACCAGCAACTTCATTTCTTTTCCCTTCTCTACATGACCTGCAGGTGCATGGCACAGTGGAGGAGCCCATTCACGAGTTGGCGTTTGAGGCGACTCAAGAGTCAACTTCTTGTCGTTGCATGAATTTCTTTGCTCGTTTCTCGTCTCTGCATGCCTGCAGGTGCACGGCACGGTGGAGGAGCCCATTCACGCCCTCGCGCGCTCCAAGGCCGCTGCTGCCCCCCTCGCCACCGCCCACGCTGCCGCCAGCCCGCTGTCCTGCCGGGACCGCGACTCGCTCACCCTCGCTGACGTCACCGCGCTCTTCCCCCAGGCCTGCCCTGCTGGAGAAGGCAGGGTGGTGGAGGAACGGGTGGTGGCGGTGGGGGGTGGAGAAGAGGGGGATGCGGGCAGGGAGGACCGTGAGAGGCTTGCTCTGGCTGCTGCTGCTGCCGCAAAAACACGGATGCAGAAACGGCCTGAGTGACAAGAATGTGTACTGTGGTAGCTCTACTCCCGTGTTTGGGGGCTGCGGGGAGCGCTGTCGCCTCCTGCCACAGCGAGGTTACATGGTGTCAGCGGTGGGGCACCATGTGCAATCTGTGAAAATGAACGAGGAATGAAATGACTAAGGGAAAGTTGGGTACAAGTACAAACCCTAGAAAGCTGTACCCCATATGTGCTACCCCACTATAGCCTACAGCAGCTAAGTCATATAAATCTGACACACCCCCATAGGCAAAGTGGGGGAGGACAAGGGGTCACAAGACCAGTCAAGCAAAGCAAAGCAAGCTCAGGGTGGATCACAAAGTCACCACACATTCCGAGCACAAGTTCAAGGCCACAAGGCCAGTTCACATGCAGGATTACATATATATATAAGGCTAAACAAGCAAGAGCAGGTGTATATATACATGTAACAGTACAAACAAGGTCAAGGGGTGAGCAAGTGAGGCAAGGTAGGCACAAGTCCCACCTGAGTACAGAAGCGCTGATGATCACAAGGCGCAAGTGCCTTGGTGAAGATATCAGCAGTGTTGGCCTGAGAGGCCACGTACGCAAGGCGTAGCTGACCACGCTGCTGTAGCTCACGAGCAAGGAAGTAGCGAAGAGCAATGTGCTTCGTTCTGTGCTCCAGTCTCTGCTCCCGACACAAGGCCAGCATGGCCTTGTTGTCTACGTACAGCACTGGAGGAGAACGAGGCGGCTCTCCGAGGTCAGTCAGCAGGTAGGTGAGCCAGCGAAGCTCCTGTGCAGCCATGGCCCCTGCGTAGATCTCAGCCTCACAACTGGAGCCGAGAACAGAAGACGAGCGGGTAGCCCGCCACGAGACAGAGCCGGAACCAAGGCTGAAGGTGTAACCCTGTGACGACCGCTGCGTAGCCTGGTCGTCAGCCCAAGAAGCGTCTGCGTGCCCAGTGAGGACCACTGGACTCTGCCCTCCAAGCACAAGCCCCATGCCCGACGTACTGCACAAGTAGCGCAACACCCTCTTCGCTGCAGCCATGTGCTCCGGTCTGTGTCTCCCAGGAGCAACATAGCGTGCGAGAATGCTAAGAGGGTATGCAAGGTCAGGTCGAGTGCAGGTCATCAGGTACATTAGGCAGCCAACAAGCTCTGGGTACGGGCCACTCGACTCTACGGACTCATCCGAAGGCAGAGCTGAGAGCGAGTGGCGAGTAGGCAGAGGAGTGGCCTGAGGCGAGGAGTACGTGAAGCCGAAGCGCTGAAGGACCTGCTGCACCATGTGTGACTGAGTCAGGGTAATGGTGCGGCGTGCTCTGTCCCGGGTGATCTGCAAGCCAAGGTAGCTGCGCAGTTCACCCAGGTCTGTGCACGTGTGTCTCTTCTGCAGCTCGGACTTCACGTGGGCGAGTCCAGCAGTGTCAGCTGTGGCAAAGACCAAGTCGTCGACGTACACGAGGATGTAGAACGGCGGCAAAGAAGTGTCGGTGCACAGAAACAGCGACGGGTCGGCAGTAGAGGGAGCAAACCCAAGAGCCGCAAGCGTAGTCCTCAGTGTGTCGTGCCACTCACGCGGTGCCTGGCGCAGACCGTAGACTGGCCGCCGGAGGCTCCACTGGGTGCCAGGAGGAAAAGTCCCAGTGAAGCCAAGTGGGCGGCGCAGCCAGATCTCCTCGTGCAGGCTGCCCTGCAAGAAAGCAGTGCTGAAGTCAAGAGAGTGTAGCTCGTAGTCACGGTGAGCAGCTATGTGCAGCAGTACCCGAAGAGTGGTCATCTTCGGGGTGGGAGAGAAGGTCTGAAAGTAGTCAACTCCCTGCCGCTGACTGAAGCCACAAGCCACGTAACGCGCCTTGAAGACAGGCGGAGAACCCGGCGGCCGCTTCACCCTGAAAATCCACATGCCACTGACGATGTTCGCCCCAGGCGGGGGAACCTCGTCAACGTAGGTGCCTGTGGACTTCCAGGAAGCCATCTCTGCGTCCATAGCTGCCTGCCACTGAGAGGAGTAGGGACCCTCTATCGCCTCCGCGTAAGAGCGCGGAGTCGGGATGTCAAGTGCATCCGGGTCTCCCTCAGGGGTAAGCAGTACGGACACGAGATGAGGTGAAGCAGCAGCCAAACACTGGAACTCCTCCTGTCTGTCCTCAAGGACGTCCGTGCCAAGGGCACACTCACCCCCGACGGACGGAGGACAGACAGACTCAGACCCAGCAACAAGACTAGCAGCGTAGTCTAGACGACAGCGAGCAGCAAAGTCGACGAGCTCAGCAACTAGGGCAGACGCAGCAGTGGACTCAAAGGAAGGGTCAGTGACAACAGTAGCAAGGAGACGCGTGACAGTCGGACTGGCAGCACGAAGGGAGTCCGACTCCGGGTCAGCAAGAGCAGGAAGAGAGGACTCAGGAGGAGAAGGCAAAGGGGCACGCAGAGGAGCAGTGGACGGACGGAGAGACATCCGGTGCGTGCCGGGCACAGGGGGAGGACGCTGACGTGAACCACGACCACTAGCGCGAGCAGCACGGATAGGCGACGCAGGACGAGACGCAGGCTCACGACGCTCAGCAAGACCTCCAGTAGGACCAGTGTAGGGAGAAGGAGCAGGCAGTGGGGAGGCCGGCTTTAACTGTAACTGTGACGGGACAGGCTGTGGACACTCTAAGGGAGGAGGAGGACCAGTAGAAGGCGGGAGACCAAGAACCTGCTCAAGAAGCGGAACGAAGTACGGCCGAGGCCGCGCAGCGACTCCAGACACAGCAGGGACAGCACCAGTACCCCCAGTGGTAGCACCACCGCCAGCAGCACCTCCAGCTCCAGTACCCCCAGCAGCTCCAGTAGCTCCAGGACCTCCAGCAGCACCAGTAGCACCCCCAGCAGGACCGCCTCCAGTACCGCCAGCAGTACCCTCAGCGCCAACACCCTCAGCAGCTCCAGCTCCAGTAGTACCCGCAGGCCCAGCAGCTCCAGTACTCCCAGTACGAGCACCTCCGGGACCCGTGGCACCAGCACCCTCAGCAGCCGAAGAACCTCCAGCTCCAGCAGCACGCCTCCAGCGCCGGGCAAACCACTCACGCACCTCCTGTGGAGAGAGTGGCTCCCGTCTAGACGGAGCACCCAGAGAACCTCCAGGCCCAGCACCGCCAGACGCCACACGAGCAGGCCCAGCTCCCTCAGGCTCCGCACCCCCAGGCCCAGCACCTCCAGGCGTAGCACCCCCAGGCTCAGCACCCCCAGTCGTAGCACCCCCAGGCTCAGCACCCCCAGACTCAGCACCCCCAGGCTCAGCACCCCCAGTCGTAGCACCCGCAGGCTCAGCACCCCCAGGCTCAGCACCCCCAGGCGTAGCACCCACACGCTCAGCACCCCCAGAGTCAGCACCCCCAGGCTCAGCACCCCCAGCAGCACCAGAGTCACCAGCGACCTCCACAGGCTCGACTGCGTCTACCTGGGACACACCTGAAGGGGCAGGACCCTGAGGGGGAAGGGGGTCTACCGGGGGGGGACCTGGCACAAGGAAGAGCGGAGGCGGGGGGAGGGACGGAGTGCGGTAGGGGAAGAGACGGTAGTAGGGGACCGACTCGTCAAACGTGACGTCCTGGGAGGACAGAACACGGCGAGAGGTGGGGTGGTAGAACTGCCACCCTGGCGCGTCAGGGGGGAAGCCAAGGAAGACGCAGGGAGCAGCACGAGGGGACAGCTTGTCCGCAGACAAGTCGCGGACAAACGCCCGAGATCCCCAGACACGGAACGCAGACGCATCGCCAACCTTCCCCGTCCACAGCAAAGCTGGGGAGGTCTCCGGCATGGAGACCCTGGGCTGAAGGTTGATCTGATGCGCCGCGTACCGAACCGCAAACGGCCACAGAAAATGGGGGGCAGCCGCATGCATCATGGACGTACGGGCGACGTCCATGACCATGCCAATGCGGCGCTTAGCAATCCCATTTTTCTGCGGAGAGTCCGGAAGCGTGAAGGTCTGGCGGATGCCTCGTGCACGACAGTAGGCTCGCAGAAGGCCAGAGGAGAACTCTCCGCCTCTGTCAGAGTGCAGACGCAGAACAGGAAAGTCCGAGCCGAAACTCTCTCTGAGCTGGAGACGAGCTGCGCGGATCCAGTCGATCAACACCTCAGTGACATCACCCTTGCTGCGCAAGGGGAAGACTGTGGTGTAACGCGAGTAGTCGTCAACCACCAGCAGGAAGTAGCGCTCGTGACCCTGTCCACGGACGCGGGCCGGGCCCCACACGTCCATGTGAAGCGTCTGCAGCGGGGCCTCTGTCGGAGGAAACTGGGAGGAGTGAGGGGCAGCACGCTGCCGCCCCTCGACACAGGGGACGCAGGTAGGGGCAGGCCCCGGAGGAAGAGGAGGGAGGGACCGGGGAAGACCAGAGACAAGGACACGGGAGGCCATGCCTCGGAGACGAGGCAGGGAGGGGTGACCAAGGCGGTGGTGCCAGAGGAGAGTCTCGTGAGACAGGAGGCGACACGAGCAGGGGGCAGACTCAGGACCAGACCTGGACGCTGCAGCAAACACCTGACCCGACGCAGCTACCTGACCAGACGCAGTGACTGGAGGAGACTCAGTGGTCAGTGTGTACAGGCTCGACCCCGGCCGACGTGTAAACGTGGCCAAGTGTCGGCCCGTCCGAGCGTCCGTGCAGTGGGTCACACGCTGGCTCGCAGGAGTGAACTGGTGAACCCCCGCATCCTGTAGGTCAGCACCACTCACCAAGTTCGTAGAGAACGAGGGGAGGTAAAGACCAGACAGGGTGCCAGAGGGGGCCGCCGGACACGGGAGGACAGTGGAGAAGTGAGCAAGGACAGGACCCCCAGAGGGGTCTGCCAGAGAGACTGCAACTGGCCGACCAAGCGGCGTGAGTGTGGTGCGGTCTCGAAAGAAGGAGCGAGAAGCCCCCGAGTCAAGAGTGAAGGTGTGGGAGGCCGGAGCCGACGCAGTACCTGAGAGAGCAGACTCACCAGCACCTAAGGAAGCAGACGCACTGGCACCTAGAGCAGCAGCCTCGC